GGGGTGTTCTGCCTGATGTTGGCTTGAAATTGATGTTCCCAGTAACGTTTCAGTAGCAGCAGCAGCAGCAGCATCCGCCTCAGGTTTTAGAGTTAAGTCACAATGTTGCAGAACTAATGACCTGATGTAGCTTCTATTGTATCCCATTGTCTGTTAAACCAGCACTAAAATCTCAGTCTTAAAAGTTTAACGACTAACTGCCTGATATTGAAGCTGTCGATAAGGCACAAAAATATGCCATTTCAGGCGTATGAGTGTTTTGCTTTCAAAGCCAACACTGAAGGATGTAAAGCATCAAAATGAAAGAGAAAAGACTGGAAAGATCTAGTGACAAACAGGAAATGCTGTAACAAACAACAAACTTCAAAGCCCCTTTAAGAGACTGCGGGAACTTGGGTCTGAGGAGAAACATATCCGCTCATTCACATAAGATTTATAAGATATTTTTGAGACGCATTCCTCCCCTAAAAATCCAACTTTACAAACGTGACTGATGTGTGTCCCACTTTCCTGATATCAGAGGAGGGAGGATTTGTATTCCTGTTTATTCCTGATGCAACTTGTAACAGATGCTGTGTATCAACTACGAGTATTATGCTGCACGCAGCAGCCACAAACAAAACTTTAACTGCTTAGTCCAGAGTCAAAAGCAGGATTATAAATAACCTGCCATAAACTCACCTCTGGCATAGACACCCGGCACTTGAGAGAAATTGAAGATAACGGCGTTTAAAAGCCCTCCGAGTTGACCCACTTTCATAATGTGAAGTTTGATCGATTACAGGGCAGCAGAGGAGGAAACTACAACAGCTGCAATTTGGAGAAAACTGACAGGAGTCAAGCTTCACTTGACCAAATAGATTTTTTTGAAGACGTTCTACAAAAAATGGAAATGTGACACCTCTGTAGGCTTTTCAGCAAAAACTAAACAGTGAGTGGAGAACGGCATTTTGCCTCAATACCAAGAAACCGCAGATTCCACTGTGGAGGCCGTATCTAGTTAATGAGACTGAAAGGGAGTTTTATGGAGACATTTCTCACAATAAGACAGGGGGAACCCCCCCCCTTAAATAAACTCTCCTTCACACTATTAATCCAACCAGCGTCATTAGAGGTAACCACTACAAACCATACAATTGTGTGCAGAAGCTAGACAGCTAATTAAAATGAGTCATATGGTGGAAAATCTCCCCCCAAGAGGACACAGACGTCTCTCTTTGTGCATGGTCTATTTTACAGCCGTTCTCCTACCTGGACTTGCCCTTTGCCCATGATCTTGTCCACAATCTCATTGTCGTCTTTGTTCAGCATGCTTTTGTCGTAACACTTCTCGTAGCACAGGATCCGAAGGTACTGGGAGCCCTCCAACTCGATCTCAAACTCCTGTGCAGTGACACGGATGTAAACAAGGAGAAGAATGAAGATGAAAACAGCACAGTTAAAAAAATAAGAAAAGAAAAAAAGATGTCTTTGCGACTGACTTCGTTCCACTGAGGCTCTGTGGTGTCCCTGAAGACTCGGGTCTTGGCCTTGCTGACAAAGTATCCAAATGAGTCTACTTCGAGAGTGCAGTATAGATCTGAAAGCACAGAGAGTAGACAGGTCGGTGAGATGAAACAACAACAGAGTATGACAGACAAAATCTGAAGCACTGGAAAACACTTTAAAAAAAAAAGAAGATCAAACATATTGTAGATGTTTAAAAATGACTAAAACATGCTGTTACACATGTTTAACTGCCGCAGACGGGTGTTGGACAGATACATTTACCGTTCCCTGTGTGGAAATTTGATAGCAGCAGAAGATACTTGACATTTCAAAGCACCATATAAAAACAATCACATGAACATAAGACGTAAAGCACACAATATACAGACACTTTCCCTCTCCGAGCATCTTAGGGATGATTTTGGCCAGACCAGCTTCCAATTAAAGAGATGTGGATTCTTTTTGCACCGCGACCGATTGATTTACTAGAAAAGGTCAAATATATATAGCATCAATCCTCCAATGGAACTGCCTGATATTTAAATATACATTTTTGAGTCTTCAAAAAATAAATAAAATAAAATGTTTTCCCTTGAAGCCATAATGATGTGTTAACATAATAACCAACAGCCAAAAATCCAAGACTTGTCTTATGAAAAGAAAGAAAACAACTAAATATGAGGGACGCTGTGAACAGTGAATGTTGGAATCACCATAAGAGCACAGCCAAAAGTGCAAACATGTATAAAAGGTGCAATTAAAAGGTGAAAAAAGCCCTCCAATTTGTCAATATGCTACCGTTTGACAGCAGACAGGCATCAATCTCCTCCCTGTGTACACAATCAGCACCGGCAGCCCCTCGCCACTCTTAACATCCTCATACCGCAGCACTAACCCGCCCCCCTTCCCTCCTCTGGGATCAGCTCACACTCTGCTCTTACACAGAGCAATTAAGTCTGTTAATGTGTTTCTTTAAATGCTCCTGAAACCATTCCTGCAGACTGTGCTACCAGCTGTCTGTAAAGCGTCTCCACTACATCCCCTATGTTGGACTTAACCCCTCGGGTTAACTTCCACTAGACAGCATGATGGATGGGTGAGTGGTTCGACCTTTCACCGGGACAGTCACTAAGATTAAGCAAGAGAGCTGAACGGCAGGGGAGTGGGTTTAATTACATATGCAATAAAATAAAAAAGACATTAATTTAAACAAAAAAAAAAGTCAAAAGCAAAGTCATCATCACGATCACAAGATTTAAGAGCCTGACACGAGCCGGGTTATGAGAGGATACCTACCACATCACGTGGATGAGCTGCGACTGGAGAAAACATGTGCACATGTATCTATAGAATAAAAAGGAGCGTACAGTATAAAGGAATGTCGTTCCATCTGGTTTTATTCCCCCTTTGTTTGTTTTCTCAGCATCCTAAAAGGTTTTGCCATAATCACTCCCAGTTAGGAAGAGATTAGCGGTGGTGGTACGAGGGAAGTTCAATGAGGGGGAATTCAGCGCGACCATCTGGGGGATATTTAAAAAAAACATGAAGCAGTTATTGCACGCTTCCGCTATGTACGGAAGCATAACAGCTCACGGCTGTCACTTCTGATTTGACATCTGGAAAAATCCTTAAACTACCTGTCACAGTCTGCTTTATTAAAGAGGCGGCAACATTCTGATGGTGGCAATGAGCGATTCAACCGGTTCTTTGTGTGCAACTCTAATGTGATTTTATCCTCTTCGTTTCATCTAGCCCTGGAGTAGAGAAGCGTATTCATAGTCCTGAGCAGCTCCCAGTTTTCTCTGGAAGTTGATTTCCTCTCCAGCTGAAATGGGTTTATGTGCCCAGACCTAAAATTCAAACAAGGCCATGGAAAGCATATTTTGAGAGGTCTTTGTGTCCTCACAGTGGATCCAAGAGGGCTTTGAGAAGTAGGACAGACTAAAAGAGGCCTGGAGTTTTCATTTTTCTGGCAGGTCGCCACCAGGCTCAGAGTATGAGGGGGATTTATTGGTCAGCATGGGGTCTCTGACCCCTAAATACAGGGTTAATGGATACCATCCTTTTCCATCTCAATTAGCTGTGGGCTGTAGCCCTTGTGGGGCGCGTATGTTCTTATACAGCAGGCTAATCTTTGCCCGAGGCTGCGCCGAATGCTGGTTCAAACTGTTGGTTCACAGAATCAGGAGACGAGCGATTATCAGTTCAACTAACTAGTGTCTCAGCAGCTACAGATCGCAGTCACCAAAACCGCTGCTTCAGGACAAAATATTCTTCTCAGACTACAAAACATAATAAGCAGGGAAATGCCACAATTCAACTGTTTAAACAGAACCCAGAAGAAGAAAACTAATAAAAGCCTGACATAGAGCGACTGAGAATACGTGCAGCCATGGCTGGATTGGATTACACAGAAATACAGTCTTGAGAACGTGTGAACACTTTCAGCAGTGGTTTGAATTTGAGCCTTACAGGAAAAACGTCGAAAAGCAGAAACGTCAAAACGAAACAAAAATTTTAAAAATGCCAAGTAGGTGCTTTAACTGTGTAGTGACCATAAATTAAATTTAAAAATGCACCTTTCTCTCATCTTCTAATGTGGATCTGTGCCCCCACCCTATGCAGAAAGTGCAGTTCTATAGGTGTGTATTGAGCTAACTGTTGCATCTTTTTGAAGGGAACGACATGCGAACACTCACTCACACATACAAACAAATAAAAATAAAGCAAGAATAAAATGACATGACATGTTTTTTGCTTCTCATCTAGGTCAGTATTTCCATAGATTTTTTTTTCTATCTGAGTTTTTGGGAGACGCTCAACTCCCAGCTTTTCCCTCTGTGACCCAGTTTGACTAACTTTGCCCTGGGCTGCGCTTCCAAGCCCTTTCCCACTGGGGGAAGATTGTTGTGGCATAAATAACAGCTTCAGTAAAATCTTCGACTACATGCTTACTTGATTTTTTTGATTTGAAGAAAAAAAAAAAAAGGAGGGGGAGGGGGCAAGAGAAAGCCTACTGTGGAGCATTCAGTGCCCACTTAACCTGACACAGTGAATAATGACTGCTGTTTCAGATCATTACACATTTCCATTCTAATATGAAAATAATCACCATTCGCAATAACAGAAACCACATGCGCACACACGATTATGCAAAAGAGGAAATTGCTGCAAAATCCTCGCACATTGAAATCTGAAATGCCAGAGACGATAAAGTAGAGTACCGACAACGCAACTGGAACCGCACTGAAGCTTTAACACAGGCTGGAACATCGCCACATAAAACCTGTACACAAACCGAATCCCATCATTAAGCTACATCTGGAGGGGGCTTTGTAATTTTAGTCATTTGTGGTATTGGAGGAAATTCTACAAGCAGAGGAATACAGTGTCTCTCAGTGATCTCTGTATGTGTTTGAAACCCCAGAGAAACTGTGCTGATGCTGGACAGGTTTAAAAACTAAACATGAATATTAAAAAAAGCTATAGGAAGCAATTGGCAAAGATGGACTCACATCCGTCCTGATGTTAGTCAGACATATTCACCATAAAAGGGGTGCATTATATTACTAAGGGTTTATTTAATTTGAGCTATTATTTGATTTCTTTTGTTGAACTTTCAAATTAAATAAAACTGTTGTTGCTGAATTGATCACTTAACCTTTAGTACAGTGAACCCCACTCCAGACTGATGGACGACAAGAAGAGAGGTGGATGAAATGATGCATCCATCATGCCTCCTTCTACTATGTAAGTCTGTGGGGGATGTATTTTGATGTGGGGTGCTTCAGTTGGTCAAGTCCAGCTTCACCTGGATATACCCAGATTTTTCCATCTTTATCCTCTGACAGTACAGGAATATTTCAAGAACACAATACAAGTTTCATCGCGCTCAAATTGTGAAAGAGTGGTTAAGGAGACCTCATTTTCTCACATGCACCGGCCACCGCAGAGTCCAGACCTCAACCCCATTGAGATTTTTTGGGATGTGTTATGCAAGACTTCATGTTCTCCCATCATCAATGCAAAACTCTGAATGGAAACAAACGTTGTAACATTGCCAAAGTTTATTAGGCACTCGAATGTTACAGGCGATCTGGGGAAATTTTGGAGCATCTGACTGTTTTTGTTTTGCAGGGCAGAGTATGATAGCAGACACTACACTTTCCTCATTCTTCTTTTTTCGACTGCTCCCTTTAGGGGTCACCACAGCAAATCATTTGCCTCCATCTCACCCTCTCCCTCCCTCATTCCTTCTCTCCATCATATAAGTCACCTCCCTCCCTTTACTAGTCACAGTCCCTACATTTAAAGGTGTTTTTGTTTACATGGAGACTCAGAACTCCCAGCAGTTCAAAGCTAGACTTTTGGAGTAACCTATCAGAATTGAATTCCAATATAAAGTATTAAAAGATTGGTATAACCATACTGAAGAGATTGCCTAATCCTGAAATCACAGCAATAAACCTTACAAAATAAAATATGAATAATGAACACATGCCACTGGAAATACATCATCAGGTATAGTAGTTAAATTTACTTCAGTGACTCACACACACACACACACACACACACATAAACAGTGACCACCCACCCATTTATCTACCACAAATAAAAGGACTTAAACCTGTGTAAACACACATTAGAGGACCTGTACGAATGAATGAAATCAGATATAAGTTATGGATGGCTTAAGCTTCACTTTAATTCCAATAATTAAATCTGATAATTAATAATTTGACTCTTGTCCTCATTTAGAGCACTTGTCTGTGTAACAGTAGTGTTATATATCATCAAGGTCAGCACTTCTCTCACGGCATCCCCGTAAACCTCCCTCATCATCATCATGAACACCACGGTCCCAAACAAGTCCAGCACATCCTCCATGCCTCCATGGCTTGCATGCCCCACCCTGGGTCTGTATGCTCCACTGGAGATACTAACATCAAAACTGTATCAGTAAAACTACCAAAGTTGCTTCCACACACACACATACTCCATAGAGCCTTTAGCTCTCTGCGCTCCATTGAGGATCAAACAGGCTTTCAGGAGAGAGTGCTTTCCAATCCATTAACTGGGAAATTCTTGTGGGCCAGCACTGAAGGCTGTCATGGTAACTGAGGAAATCATTTCTCACTCTCCATCTCTTTTCCTGATATTCGATATTTGAACTGGTGCTTGAGCAACACGGGGCGCGAAGTGTACCGGAGCAGCAGCTGTCCACCGCTGACACATCTGAAACAGCCTTTGTGGAGGTTCAGCCAACGTCAAGCTCGGTAGATAACACACACGCATACACACGCACACAGCCATACAAAGAAACATTTGTGCAAGGTAAGGCAATAGCATAGTGTGTGAACAAAGACGAGTGGTATTACAATTGCCAGCTGTCCACTTCTGAATGCTGCTGTTTGTGATTTTGACGTTCCTTCTTCTTCAATGTGCCTTCAGCATCTTTGTCACTTGTGATGTCTGCTTAACGAAAACAACCACAGGAATCCCACTTTGGCTTCAACGCTTCCTCTGAGACAACCTCATTCGCTCCCTCTCTCTCTCTCTCCCTCTCTCTCTTGATTTTTCCTTGCTTTTTTATCTTGGCCATGTGATGATGGAAACTGCATGTGCCGGCTGTGATGATTGACTGGGTCATGTGTTTTGCTGGCAGACAAGTATATGCGCAGCCGCTATGTGTAAGCAGATGCTGAGCCAGAGTGTGCGCACAAGTGCAGTTAGAGGGGGGAAAAAAAGAAGCTGTTTCTGGCAGACTTACTGGCTGACTGCTCGAATCCTTTGGCAGAGTGGACAATCACATGCAGAAAGCCGTACAGGCCAGGAGTCTCCTCATCTGGAAAACAAGCACACAGAGCAGTTAGAGCAGCACGGGTGCACATATGGGAGTCCGTGCACAAAAATCAGCAGGGTAATTAGAAGTCACTGCAAACTATAAAATGTATGATCCTCCGGCATCCTGTCTTTATCTCTGCGATGATATTGTAAAGAAAAAAGATAAACTGTGAGAGAAAGAAACAAAGGAAAAGGAACTCGTCTCATGGAGCATGAGCTCTACCAGCAGGTTTCATTTCATTTCTGCTGCATCTTGTACATTTTTTTTCCTGTACTGCCTGATCACTAAATGCTAATGATGATACTAGCTCTCTCTCTCTCTCTCGAGCTTACCCTATTTTGCACCTGTGTGCAGGCTGTTAGTCTTTATTATCACTGACAGCTGTGGTATTATTTTCTATCTGTTGCAGACTCGTTTACTGGCACTGACACTAAACTTGCTTCTGTTGTTTCCAACAGCAGGACTTTAATGCTACATGCTCTTTCAGCTTTTTGTGAACGAGTCTCGTTCCCTTCGCTGAAAGCGGGTCAGCTCACGTGGCCATTTAGAGCACCTTTTCCCCTCTGTCGGCTCATGAATTAGTGGTATTCATCGAGGTAAAATGAACCGTTCAAATATGTGTGAAGTTTGAAAGTTCACTGTTAAAGCGTGTGTCGCCACATCCAGATCCATTCAAACTAAAATTGCTCAGTGGGGCAGATTAGTGGGAACCCTAGTGGGTTTTTGTATTCTTTCTTGGGTGGTCCGAACTGGAGATTACATTCTTATTGTTTTTAATCATTCATTTGAGTGTTTTTGTTCTCATTCCCTCCAGCAGTCAGTTATCAACATTTGAGAAGAGACAGATTAAACTTCACATGACTTCAGAAAAAAACAGAATAAAATGAAATCAGGGAAACAGCTGAGGAAACAACTATTGGAAGATCTGAAAGAAAATTAACCGTTATTACAGCCTTTTGTCAGATTGGCATCAGACCACACATTAGCAGTGCACAGACGTCTGCCATCGAAACTGAGCTGGCCTTCGAATAGAGATCATGGGTGGACCTCTTTTTTACATACACCCCTCTTTGTACCGCCGACAGAAACATGAAGAGGATACAGTCCTGCTTTGGTTGAGGCCTGTGAAGCCCGGCTGCTTCCTGGTAAATAAACTAGGGTGGAGGGCAGCAGGACCGCTGTGAGCTCCACTGTAGGCAGCTGAGAGGAGAGCAGTCAGCCCTCGGGGTTGACTGTGCGTGTGTGTTTTATATAACTAACAGGGGAGTTTCACAGAGAGTCGGTTCATAGGTTCAGCATCATAGCAGACCGACTGCCCTTTCTCTCTATTATGCTCAACGGAAAACCATGAACTAATATGTGATAACTGATGATTATTCAATGGAGTCAAATGAAAGAGTGAGTATTTAAGTCATCCATCCTCTTAAGTATGAGAGACATTCCTCCACCAGCTGGTCTCCATTTAAACCCCTGCTGTGCTCCCTGCATCACATGTCAGGATGGAGGTGTGTGTGTGTGTGTGTTTATTCTAGCTTTGTAATGAGGAGCGGGTCAAAAGTCTAAGACAACGCAGGAGTTGAAGTCTGATTTAAAACACAGGAATCTCAGTAAGCTCTCACAGAAAGCAGCAGGAAGATAACATGTAAGGAAAAGTCCACCAAAGCAGTGAGAAAAACCCGTTTAGGGAAAGCAAACAGAGTTAATTCTCTTATTAAAACCATGTCAAGTGGTGCAAATGCATTTTTAACAGTAATCTGTCTGTATGTCATGTTGTGTATCCATGTGTGGTGTTATGTACTGTCACGTCTGACGTACTTATCTGTTATTTTGACAGCCTGATGCCGTGTTAAATGTTAAATAAAAAAACAGAGAATCAGACAAAGTTCAGTTGCACTCAAATAAAACACCTCGTTTGAGGGGGTGGGGTAAAGCACACCACAAAATATGCTACCACTTAAGTGTCACTTGTCATTCTGCTGACTACTTTGAAAATACAAAACTAAAATCCCTCTGAAAATGACTTTAAATCTGTTGGACATCAAACACAGAAATTCTAATGCACAGAAAGGAAACGCGACACAAAAACATCAGGACAGCGTGCCTTTCAGTGTAAGAGCTCTGTGTCTGTGCATGTGTATTGTCTTTGTGTGTGAGAGACCCTCTTGCCATCTGAGCAGATCAGAGCAGATGGAGCAGATGGCTTTAATGTCACCCCCCCAGACTCTGAGAGTGGCTGCAATGAGGAGATCAGGAGGAAAAAACAAACATATAGAAGCTGCGAGCACGCCACCGACACACTGCGCGGCACTGACTGCTCCGAGCTAGATGAGAAACATATTGTAGCCTAAATTTATCTCCTGCAAGGCCCCCCTAACTTATTATGTGGCTTTTTAGTGCTCAGAGTGTAACAGGCACTTTTGTGTGAAGTTAAATTCAAAGCAGAGGGAAGAGGGAGAGGGAGACAAAAATGATCCTGCTCGTGTTTCTTACCGTCTTTGTTACCGGTGACAGGAATGTTGTGGACCGTTCGGAGTTTGAAACAAGAGCTGGTCAATACTTGGAGCTCTACAGAACTTAACATGCATGACTGGAGGTCTGGAAGAAAAAGAAAGGAAATAAATATCATAAACATCATATAGGGAGGTGGGGGTCAAACCTTTATGTTTCTGTGGAGCAGTGTTTGAAAAGTGAACACAATCGTACCTTTCTTTTGGAGTTTCTGAATGCTTTCCCTCCACTCTGACCTCTCGTAGTCAGAGGATAGCAGGAACAGGTAGCTCTACACACACACACACACACACACACACACACACACACACACACACACACACACACACACACACACACACACACACAGTTAGCAATTACAACCAAAATAGCTGGAAAAAATCCTCACTAGCACACATCAATCGGAATGATGGGAAATTCTCTGATGCCGTTTTGGGGGATTCAAACTTTAAATCTGTAACAGCAGACTCTTTGAAAGCAAAATGTGTCCCTCTAGTGGTGAAACCTGCACAGTGCAGTGACACAAATGGAGCCAGTAACAGATTAAGAATGGCCAGAATACCTTTCCATGTTTGTTGTGGATGCGAAAGGGGATGGTGGGGGAGTGCAGGAGCAACCAGGACTCCTGCTCGTTCATCTTCTTCCTGAGACGCTCCACACGGCTCTGACCCTTCGGTGCTTTCTGCACAAGGACACGGAAAGGAAAAGAGACTGTTTGAATCTCACTGATTGCTGAAACGTACTCATTAAAGTAAAAGAGAGTAAAACCCCGAGCACTGCTGTGCAGCATCCGAAACAGTCACAATCTTTTCCTGATTGTGACAGTGAGACTTGTACTTCTCCTCTGACTCATCTCAGGTCTCGACACATACAGAAGACGCTTGTATTTTTAGATTCAGTGTGACTTACAAAATGAGGGTCGAGGTGCAAGGTGGGGGGTGGGTGATGGGGGGGTGATATGATCTGACTTTGAGAGCCCTTGCTCTAAGTTATAAGACTGATTTCCTTTTGTATCCATTTCATTGAACACTGGGTTTTACTGTGAGACTAAATATCTGGAGCTACTTCAGCTAGAATCGTATTTTTCCATTAACAAACAGAATGAAGCAGATGTAGCAGACGCCTGACATGATGGAAAACAAGACAACCACACTGAGTGTACAGTCAGCTTTATGGATTTCATTAAATTATTTTAATGACAACGTGACTGACAGTTAAAACATCTTTATTTGTACGGCACAGTCATGTTTAGCCTACAAAAACAAAAAGCCTCCAATGCAGACTAGTCTCCGTCAGGGAGTTTCAGAGACGTAACACCAAACCTCCACCTCCAAAGTGTCATATTCCAGTATTGGCTACCTAACAACCTAACAAGTTTAGTGGCTAAACGGGGTGTGAACGTATGAAGACGTCAGAAGCTGGTGCCCTTTGGTCCCTCAGTGTTTGTCGAGTTTAAATTTAACCAGAGCATGATAATCATAAGGCAGTGCACCAGTTACAGAGAACAAGAGAGTAACGCACAAAGAAGAAAAACATATGCAGTAAAATCTAGTTCCTCATTTAAACCAGGAGATTTAGTGGCCTGTCTTTGGTTAGGTTTCTATTGTCGCCTCTTCGTATGAAAAGCGGGGCGTGAAAGATTAAACTGCAGCTGATTAGTGGTTTCTGTTACATCTGCAAAGCGGTTGAAGTGATCACACTTGTAGGACCTCTTGGGTTTTAGACCCAACCCTGTCTGGTTGTGTTTGGTTGGAGGTGGCTACGTAAAATTCATTAACTGTTCAAGTGAAGATCGTTCAATAACACCAGAATTTCTATTATTAATGAGTTGGATTTACTTTGCTTCTCTTCTGTACGTCATGACAAAAATCAAACCACCCATCGTCTATATTTTTAACAACATCCAAACTGAACTTTAAAGTGAGGACTACTCAGCGTTGCCTTATTGAAATCGTTCATATTTTCCAGCAAAGTGTCTATAAGCTGCTTTCCAGCAAGCCCCATACTGTGAGAGTCTTTATATATAATTCATGGAGCAGTTTCTTGACGTTATTAGAGGAAAACAAATTCATACACAGCCCCAACCCTCACCAGGAAGCAGTGAGTCAGAGCCTGCCTGGATACAATCAGCTCGATCTCTCCCGGCATTCGCCTCCTGCGACTCCACATACCAGCCGTGGTCACTCACTGTGCCCCGGGTGGGCGAGTTTTAACGCCGTGAGAGGGGAATAACAGGAACTCTGCGCTCCTGAAGCCTTTAAGCGCAGCTATGGCTGCGGGGGTGGATTACTGTGTACTTGTAACATCTTTTATTTCAACCTCAAAACGACAACTGAGCATTTCAGCATGTGCTGAACAAAACAGACTCATACCATGGCGCACACAAGTCACAGTTTAAATCTGGATCAGCACTTTTGCCACTCATACTGAAGGAAAAGGCAGCTGTCCTCAGTTTCAGGATGTTTATTATTCATACTTGGACTTGTTTTGCTGCTTGTATTCACTCACACAATAGTCACAATTCATTTAGTCTGCGTAGGCCATAATAAAAAATGAAGTAAAGGGTCACAAAGCTTTGATATGACACCGAACTTCTGATTTGCTTCTTATTTATTTTTATTTCTTAAATAAAAAGAATCCAGCTGATGATTAAAACTAAAAGAAGCTCCTTTTAAAAGAACCAAGTTCTCCTAATTGTGTGGCTCTTGGCCTCAAATGTATTTGTTTTATGCATATGTTAGAATTTAAATATGAACATCAAAAAGCTCCTGTTATTCATAACAGGACCAGCAACTTCTCTTACTCTAAAGCCTAGAACTGGGCTCCAAACCCTGAATTTGTCCCTTTATTCTTTAATCCTGGATCATCTCAAAATTAAACCCAAGATGGCCGAATAAGCCATTGTAAGCCCCACGAATACATTGAATTGGGCTCCAAATGCCAGGAAAAAGGATTACCTTCTCTTTCTGTATCTCATTCTTTAAGACCGAGATCTTGATCTTCATCTCCTCAATCTCGTGCTCTGGCAGGACCTGGATGCTCGGGCAAGTGTCCGAGTCGTCCAGGGTTTGGAAAGTTAAGTCCGCTAGAGGGATGTACCACTTGCACTCATACTGCTGATGGCGACTGCAGAGAGACAGAGAGAGGATGGAAGGATGCAGGAATGGAAATGGAAGAGATGAAACAGAATTAGTCAAAATATTTAAAAAAATATATATATATTTTCTCTTTTTCAATCATGACTGAACTGAATGGACGCACAAAACCGAAGCGAACCGGTTTACAATTTGAAGCCACACTAACAAATGTTACACTTTTCTATTCAAACGTGTGCTCATTTGACCTCATTTCTTTATAGCCCACTCATTCAAAGTCACATTAATAAAAATGATGAATGCACAACATTATTTCCACAGGGGCTGAGGACACTAATGTGCACCGTATCTAATGAGATTTTAATTAACATTTCTGAGTGCTGCACAGTCGACTCATCGACGACATAATACCTTCATCAGACGGCTAGTTTAAGCAGCTTGATGTCAAAATGAATCCACACTAAACAAGCATGTGTTAACACTACCAGCGTTCTACATATAAAACTTACTGTCAACTATATGCATTTATTTAAACAATCAAATCAAGCAATCAAACTCAGTTTTAATGTTCTCATTTCTGTGATATTCTCCTCTGCACGACTACACCTGAAAGGTGGAGCCACTGTGGACCGGGAGTGGTTCAATACTCTGGCTTCTCTGGCCTGCATGTTAAAATGTCCTTGAGCAAAACAGGGAACACACGTAAAATGACAAATGAGATTTTACTGATCTCAGTGCAGCAGCTACTCGAAACACAGTTTATCTACTTTATTTACTGCACTCGTTTTTTTTCAGGCGTGCACTTCAACTGGAACTTCAAAGATTTGTTCAGCCATGTCAACGAAGGACTCTTGCTTCGTGTTTAGTCTCATGTTCCCACTCAAAGCCTTCGCAGTGATGCAATCGGCTCCCACCAAAAGGACTTTGTCATTTCTTCATTAACGAAGTACATTAATTTTACATCCTCCCGCTGCAGATTATGGTCCCCTGATCTTCTGCCCCACCCACCCACTCCATTATCAAGCCCTTCTTGGGTCTTTCGGGAAGTCCTTTTATGTTACAGACCACCGATTTGTTTCTGTTCTAATCAGACTCTGACACAGACTTAGAGAAACACAAAGAAAAGGGGGTGAAGCTAGGTTTGATACATGACTGAGAAGGAAATGAATAAATCACCATATCAAATCATGTGGTTCTTTAATGCCAGACAGCAAAGGTGGTGCATATATAAAGAAATGATGAATTATCCAAGGTGCAGAACGTGCAGCGGGCAATCGTAAATCTGACTCATTCTAAAATAATAGAGTGCAGATAATCACGGCGTTTGGCAGGGATTAGGGCTCCTCAGTGACTAAAGTCAAGGTGATTGAGTTTCTGGATGGTTGCTCTGTTCTGTGTGTAAGCGCGTAGGCTGTAGGCAGCACACTGAGATAACAATCCAGACCATATAATAGCCCCATTTACAGGTTTGGTAGTTATGGCAACACTATGTGTTCCTCCAAGTGAGGGGCGGCTGCAATTGACACAGAGAAACGGCGAATGTCAACCAAAGCAGGCACCAATCAGACGAAGGGGAGGCAAGTCGGTGCTGTAAGCGTGACCCTCGATCTGTTGACATGTGTCAAAGATTGACACGCAGCAGCGCACACAAACACAAACAATCTTTTTATGTCACCTCTCTTTACTTTAACCCCTGCTCAGCTTGCACCCTGAAACACAACACCTTCAGTTTTTTTACTTACACCTTTTGTCTTCCTTTTTAAAGTGTTTTTATTATTCACACATTTAGCATAACTCTGTCCTGCGTGTAGATCTGCTACTCTGCTGCACTGCTCAAAACAATACAGACAAAAATGCCTGCGAGTCTTTCTCTTTGTTACTGACGCTTCAAACACCACCGTGTTAGCCACAGCTGGAATCAGAGAGGGAGTGCGTCTTTCCGAAGTGATCCTTTCTGTTGCACGCCGGGTTTGACAAGCTGATGTGGAAGGAAAACTGCACGACACACGGGCAGAAACACAGAGAGGACGAAAAAGCGTGGATATTTAAAGAGGCAGAACCCAGTTCAACAGGCTTTATGAGCCTTAAGCTAAATAATAAAACGCATTGTTATGAAGCAGATAAATGTTTATGTTAACACTGGCATTTCTATCAATTTATAAAATTAGCTTATTTAACGTAGCTTAACATCCTAAACTGTGCAAGGTGGACAGAGTGAAGTGACACCGTGAAATTGATATGTAAAAACATCGCTGACGCCCTCCATTTAGAGGCTTGTGCTCGTCAATGGAAATTTTTGAAATAGCACACATTATATCCAGACTGAGTCTCATCATTTAGAAGTTGTTGAGCTGACTCTCTCAGAGTTTTGGAACTTTAGATCAGTGGCTGGGTGATTTTGAATTATTTCCCTTCACTTCCGCCTACATCTGTGCACATTTGAAGAATTAATGAAAGTGCGTTGCTGTGACAGGGAGCAAATGAAAGAAAGAGGCCATCACCGCCCAAAGCTGCTTATGCCTCGAATGAATATACCTACAGTCTGCTTCAAAAGAAAACTCTGTGACAGAGCCGTGTCACCCTGCATTTTTCTCTGCCCTGAGAATTAATAAGCGACTCCTGTGACGCACCATCCACGCCCCATCCCCGTTCCACTTTCTGGCTTTAGCACATCATTTTAGCATTTTTCAGATGGGAATGGGGATGAGGGGGGGTGACGTTAACGATAATCGCGCTCACAGCTTTTCACACTGTCAGAGGATAAAGGTGGACTCACCCCACAGCAGTCTTTTTCATCTTGGCACAGAGCAGCAGATCGGTGAAGAGGAAGACGTGCCGTAGCTTCCTGGAGCTTTCCGACACCTCCACCAGGAAGCCATCCTTCACCAGCTGACGGGCCTGTAACAGAAGTGTTAACTGTCGTTGTGAATCAAAACATCATTGAGATTGTGGATTAATAAGTTGACTTACTAAATTAAGTTTGCTTTACAGAGACGTGCATGTCTTTGTTTTTAACTTAAATGTTCCTTTTGGAGTTTTAAAGCAATGCAACCATTTATTATAGTTTTCTCAAATTACCTAATAATATTTCATATGAGCGGAAAAGTGAAGACAAATGTTCTAAAGATATGAACATAAGTTCTCTATAGAGAAGATGTGTTGTAAGAACACACACACAGACCTCGCCCTTGGGTGTAGTAACAGCAGTCCTGCGAGGGTCAATCTCCTCATTGATGGAGGAGAGGAAGTTCTGAGAAATCCGCAGAGCGTCCTGCAGGAGGGGGAAGTCCGGGTGGTCCTTTGGAGTGTGTTTCAGCAAATCCTGTGAAAGTACATTCAATCATCTAAAAATGTATTTACCACAAAGCAACTCTGACCTTTGTGAGCCGAGATTCAGATTTAGTTTCATCTTCTCTTCGAAAACGTCATCGCGCTACACAAACACAGACTTCTTACAAACACTAAAACAATCTTGTTTCTCGGTTTCTTCTGTTAAAGATACTTTTTCTTACTTTCCTCCCAGATTAACATCAACCAATTTTCTTCTGTTTGTTTGCATACGTGACAAGAACATGACACACATGCTCATGCTGGATGCACAGAGCATCTTACTGTCAGCTTTCATGCAAACCTGTTCATGCATTACACTACAGCGACCACACTGGACACATCCAGAGATCTCTGCTTTGCTTCGCTGGCACTTTCTACACCATTATTTCTCTTCCAAGGAGGTAGGCTGATTTGGACTGAGAGGACTCAGCGATAAACATCAAAAAGCAGGCTTTAGGCTTAATTCTTGCACGTCTTTTTAATCTCAGGGATGTGTTTGCAACCTGCTCCAATTATTATTTGTTGTTGTTTTTTTTAATCTTGACATAGTTCTCAGTCTTTTCTCCACCCTAAAACACTAGAAGTAAGACATTTCTGCCAGAACAGCTTTAGATTCAGCGGATCCTTGAAAGCCATGCAAGCTGTGTACTCACATGAAGAACCAGGGTGCTTCTGGTAACACGGTCAATCGGCTTGTAAAGGAGAGCTGTGGGAGAGAGAAGAGGAGGGCTCTGAGTCAGTGTTGCTTACAGGCAAATCAATACATGCAGACACACACAGTAGGTCACAGTTTCACAGCTCACACGAGGACAAAAATGTCCACTTTGGTTACTCTGAGCTAAACGCAGCTCTTACAGTCTGACTGCTGATGATTCTTAGGTTAACATTAAAGCCTAATGACGACGAGGTTCCTGCCTGAAGCAAGAAAAACACTTGATCATAAATAGCCTTGTAGGTGGGGTCAAGTAAAACACTGATTTCAATATGGGGGCAGCAAAGGTTTGCGCTACTGTTGTTCATCAGTTTAACAGCTGTACATATTCAGACTTGGACATAAAAGCAAACACAAACAACACATGCAGACGGACGCATCTATAAAAAAGTGCAATAAGACTGCCTCCTGCCAACATGCCACCCTCAGTGCCTCTCAGTCAGAGTTTAAGCCTGTATCACCGCACTTGGCTAGATTCCCTGGGGAAGACTTTGCTGCTAAGGTGGTGTGAACAGCAGCAGCCGACATACATGACAGCTCTCTGTGACACACTCCCACAAACAGGGCAGAGTGAAGGATGGAGAGAAATAAAAGAAAAACAAATCACAGTGAGGAGATACGCAGGAGGAAAGATGGCAGACATGAGAACCTCTAAGAGGAGACAAAGAAGAAGCAAACAAGTCATGTAAGGAAACGCCTAAATTACCTCAAGGTCTCAAAATAGCAAATATAATATCACACTACACATTCGATAAAGCACAGTAACACTCCTCTGCTCATGATCTAGAAACTGAGCGAATGTAATAAAAAAATTCCCACAAGGTTCTAAACATTGTTAAGTTATCTGAAAAAGTTCCACTTATTGATCATGCTAACCTCCATTTATTCAAGTGAAAACAGAGTTAAAGCAGCTTATTTCTAAAGTGAAGAAGAAAAGCTGGCCCAGTGAAACAGAGAGGACTGATGTGTCTTCTGTATGCAGGCAAGCTTGCCCCACACTGACTGTGCTCTGCTCCCACAGAGAGATCTACAGGCATAGCTACACTTCTATTTGAATTTTAAACTTTATCTATTTAAAGCATTCAATAACGCTCTCTTTATATGTACAGCGTTGTTCTGTCACTCGGATGCTTTTAAGTGTTTAGTATTTCCGCCACACCTCTGCCTGCGACTTACAAAATTAGCACGAGAGCAGCAGTGACTATTATCAGATCTACTGATGAAACGCGTCATATTAACGCTCTACGCACACCCTCTGCTTTTAAAATATACACTGGCCCACATGAAGTGTATAGAGGGACTTTTAGAGGGACTTGCAGTTACTCTTTGAAGTTTCTCCAACGTTTGGTCATTAATGCCGCCTCCACTGAGGGTCATGGATCAGTGAACCAATACTGATACCTCCAGGAGGATTTACTACAGAGCCTGTATTGACTGCAAGGGCAGTGAATATCTAAGTTGGTGTGTGTGTGTGTCTGTGTGTGCGGTATGTTGGCAGTTTTGTATTTATTTCAATGCAGGGAGGATTAGATGACTTCAGGATGACTTGAGTATAAGTACTTAAGCACAAGTGCCAGGTTTTGTACAGTTTGTGTAAGTAAGCTGCTGTATTTTTTGTGCCATATGTTGTGTCGCATGACAAAACGATATCTGAGCTAAAAGCTAATGCTAGCATGCTAACATGCAGTGTAGCATGTTAGCATGATAATACTTCCTAATAACCGCAAAACGCAAAGTATAGCTGGAGCTAAAACATGTGACACCGTCAAACTCCTTGGATCACAGGGCGACTGCACAGGTCACATGGTGGGAAGCAACCTGTCTCCAACAATTGTTACAACTCGACTGCAGTCACTTTCACACAGATTAGCAAAGGTTTGCAGGTAACTGTGATCTAATTTATAAACACGGACAGACGTTGCAATCAATCCGAGTCGGTCTGAACCAATAATATTCAGACTGTATAGTATTAGTCATATACCAGTACTGCGCATTTAAATATCACAGTTGATCAATGATTAATACTCATTTATCAGGAAACTATGAAAAATTAGACACATTTTGATTATTTTGGGGTTAAATAAAAAGTCATCAAAGCCATCGGCAAAGCATGCAACATTTTTTTAACATTTCAAGTTTCAATCAAAGGCTGTTTTAAACTCAAGATCACATTTTACTGCTTTAGAGTCTAGTCAAGTCTCTTTGCAATACTATGCAAGATAGGTTCATAGGTTATTAAGGATGAACCTATCAAGGAAGCTCAGAGATCTCCAACTTTACTTCTTTCTTTTTCTCATCTCGTTTTCCTCTAGTTTTTCAACCATGCAAACATAATAATTATATACAAGAGATTTGAATAATGAAGTTACTCTCCTGAATACAAAGACAGATTAAGGATTGCCACCTGAATGCTAATGTAGACAGAAATCTACTCAAGTTCTCTCCGAACGCAGGATTAAGCGTCATCACTTTTTGACTGCACATCATGTGGAGTATCTGACTTGGATGTATTTTACAGACAAGGATCGAGTTAAAAGTCTAATCAAAAGTCAGGACGAGGGAGGATGAAGACACAAAGAGAGAGAGTGAGAATCAGATAGAGAGAGGGGGATTATTGGAAGTCGATGTCCTGTCCCAGTGAGGCGTGCCTGACTGGTCGTTTTTCCAAGGTCGCTTCGATGACTTGGCTGATGGACAAATAGTTAATCTTTGCTAACGAGGTGCTTGGCCATGTGAGCGAAGTGTTTGACAGGACTTTTAGTCCTCAGGACTGCCAGGTTTCAGGCCTCAGTATTTTGGCAAAACTCTCAGCTACCAATGCCAGCCATAAGCCTGTGAAGGAGGGTGAGAAGGACAGGACAGAACTGATAACACAGAAGGAAATAAAGAAGGATTAAGAGAAAGTGAGAAAATGGTCGTGTGTAGGACATGAGTCCCCATTTACATTTAAAATGTATCAGACTCTTGTTTGAGCAGGTATTTGTGTTTCTATCAACCTATCAGCCATTTACTGTAGCTGAGATCCTGTTAAATACTTTGGAAAGAAAAAAAAAGCTGATGGAGCAGAGAAAAGAAACAAGGGGAAAATAATAAAAGAAACAAAGAGAGTAGATAGAGGAGGCATTTGTTGCAAAGTTAAGGTAGAGAAACCCCTCGGCTGACCCACCAGGTAATTAATGTACTGTAATATAAACAGCAATCAAAGGAAGTGCCTTGGGTGTTGACACACCCTGATTGTTAAGGGCATATGAGACTAGTTTCATGACACATAGCAGCCATGTGAAACTACAGCAAACCAAAGACGTCATTTTAAAATCATCTAAAACAGGAATGATGAGAAAAGAAAGAATAAAACAACTGCGACAGGTTGATTATTCCTCATCTGCAATGCATAAATTAACAGACACTTCACAGGTACATGTCACTGAAATCTGAACAATGAACACTCACCCAGCCACTCTCAGCCCGACAGAGTCGCACAGTCTACTCATCTTATCTGCTAATGACTGCGTACAGCTCTACCCACCAAACTGAACGCAATCCCCAAAACGGCCGAAGTTACAGAGGCGCCAGCAGAGTACAGGCACGTACCGCGATAGACAACCTCTCTCTAACACACACACACACACACACACACACACACACACACACACAGACCACACTTGTTCCGATCCTCTTGAGATAAGTATTCTGTACGAGGAGCAGCCCGGGGCCAGCAGTCCTTATACAGACTAAACGTGCCCAGCTTGTAAACAGACAAAGAAAGACAGTCGTGTATGACAGCCCGAGTGAACGCCACACTCCAGAGGCTCATCACTCAAAAAGCTCATCACAGGCATGCAAATGTTCAGAAAAAGCCAAATTCATCAGCAAGCATGAGCACAAAAGTCTAAACGTCAGTCTGACAGCTAATTAATAACTGCCTCCACACAGTCTATCATAAGCACCGTAAAAGCTGTAGATGTCCTCACAGATACCCGACGTCAAAAAGCGGGAAGCTCATAACATGCAGTCGTTACCGTATGTGCAGTTACAACACAGTCTGAGGACCAGAAGCACCTCCATATCCCTCTTCTCCTCTCCTCACTCTACACTCCTGCTCACTGCCTCCTTTCTCAGGCACAGAGAGAGAGGGAGAGCGAGAGAGCGAGAGAGCAGACTCACACATGCACCAGTTTGCCTCCCAAAGCTCACCACTGCATACACAAGAAGAAGAGGCAGGGCTGGAATCTTAAAACAGCAATCCAGCCTAGACAGACACACACACACACACACACACACACACACATACGCATGCATGCATAGAGATACAAGCGAACACCAACTTACCCTCCATTGAACTAGTTGTTGTACAGTCTTTGGAGTCTTTAGGACCTTTTACTTTGAGGTTCTGAAAGAAATAAAAGAGTGGAATAATCAATTTAATTAATTGTGCGCACTCACAGGATTGTGCTGCACTTGCTTGGCTGAGGCTGAACTAATGGAAGTACAGGATCAGTGCATCCAACTGAGACAGCTGAAAAAGACTGGGCACGGGAACTTTCACAAGTTTCCCTTTAAGTAAATAATACCACCAACAAACCTCTACGGCAGGTCCCAAAAAGGTGATTTGACTCATCTGGACGGGAGGAACGGTACATTTGTATAATGACTGAAAAGGTCAGTTTCTTGATCATTAATATGCAAATGACCACTGATCGAAGATTTGATCATTGGCTATGAGTACCATTCACAGAGAGTTGGGGAATGGCTGCAATCACAGCATCGTAAGATGGTGAAAGATGTACCCTTTGCTGGTGTATAAGATAACAGGGAGTGGAAAGTCTGATGCTTAAAAATGAAAGATGCCCATGCTCCTTCCAAGATGAATGATCATAGTTAGATTCTGTAAGCACTTTCCTTTACTGTAATGTCTTTGCCTCTCGATCTTTGTTGAACACACCTAACAATAAGGAACAATCTATAACTATATCCTGTGTTGACCTAAGGCGTGAAAAGCTAGCATGTAAACAAGGGACATCAGAGGTTGTGTTACTATCAGTCACTTCTGCCACAAACATTTTCAGCTAATTAACTTATTATCACTGACACCTTCCCAGCAATCCGCACCTCCCCAAATACACACACTCTTTTGTTCTGAACGCTCAAAATATTATCTGCGCTTCAAGTGCGTGTAGTCGTCCCGCACAGTAAACTCAGACTTGCCTGGATGTTTTTTCTGTGAATGTAACCTCTCATCGTTCTGTTACCTAATACGCTTGCTGGCTAAGTGCTGTCCCAAGCACATTTGAACACAAATACCTCTTAACTGTGTTTTCAACAACGGTTCCTCAAAATAAGACCACATTTCCCATAAACACTGCTGTTTCCTGCCAAAAAGAGGACGTTTCGACTCGCTTGGTTTGTGTCGTCATCTATTTGTTCTCCTGTTCTCTTCACTGAAGAGAATTCATATAATGGCACCCTTGAGACAAGTGAAGGGGAGGTTTGATGGATCCTTATTATTACTGCGCCAAGTTTGATATGCTGATGTTAAAATGCAGTACATAGCAACAAAATGACATGTTTGCTATTTAAAAGTTCTCTTGTTACACGTTGTTTAAAATCATGGAGGTTGAACTCACCTCAGATATCTTCTGGAACTGGCTGTTGGCTTGGCTGCATTTCTCTGCCGTCTCCAGCGCCACCTTGTAGTTGTCCACAAAGGCCTTGTACACGCCCAGCTGGCTGGCCTGGAGGAAAGCAGAAGCAAAGACGTTCAGGAAACAACAACGACAAGGTGTGAGGCAAACTAAGACAACGATGATGCCATTTAGTCTTCTCTCATTTTATTCAAATTGTTAAATGAACTCCGGAGACTCGGGAAGTCAACACAAGCATGTCATGGCACTGATGGCAACTAAAATAAAATTCAGCAAGTCCTACTTTGCATTCACCTTAAATGATCACTTCCAATTCAATTTAAATTCATTGAGTCAACACACAGTGTCTGATCACATTGCCATAAAGCCACTTCACTAGCAGCGCTTTGCAGTCCCTCCTGATTGAGTCCCTCTCCTTCTCCATCCTCTTCTCTTTCATTAACAGCCCCTCTCTGCAGCACTGTATGTGCATTGTAACACAAGCTGCAGACCAGCAGTGCATGAATATGCATCCTGCTACAGCTATGCTTGAATGCCTAGGCTGAAGAGCTGACTGCATCCTATTAAAGCAATGAGATTGGATTCAGCTGAATAGAGTGCATGAGTAAGACTTTTGTCCTTAAACTCCATGTCCTCTTATTTTCATTTCCTCTCCTTCCTCTTCCCTTCGGAGTGAGAAGTAGAAAGTTGGGCTCAAAAGCAAAGACGTGAGGGAAGTGTGCGGCCTCATGCGGCATTTGAAACATGTTATAGCAACAATCGATGGAGGGAAACATCAGGACACAAATATGTGATTGTAGAATACTGATGGCAAAACCGTCAAACCACGTAATGTGTGACACTGACTACAGATGAGTGAAACAAATGTCACCACGCGTGGATCGTCTATTTATAACTGGAGACTATTTTATGTCAAACCAAAACTGTGGATGGAAAAGAGAAACCACGGTGTGTCATAGCTGAATTTCCAAAGATGGAGATTTGGCAGCTTGGCTGGAAAGAACAAACCAAGCAGAATGACGTTATGAGATTTCATGAGTTCAGTATGAAAGCGGCGTCAGTCACAGTCCAGACAAAACGCCCACGCTTTAGAAAACAAAAATCACAGGTCAAAGTGGCAGGACAGAAAACAACAGGTTGTGTTTGAAAGTGAACGTGGGAAGTAGAACATGAAGAAACACAGGAGAAAGACTTTTCAGCTGGTAGAAGAGCCTACGGACTATGTAAACCCACATGGACACGTTTGCCAGCTTAGAGGTGCCTTTTTTAAAAATTGCATGCAGCTTTGAGAGCAACACGAACCCTCAACTAAACACTGTAGTGAATCTTTTCAGAGCACTCGCCACTCTTTTAAAGCACAGCAAGTGATCAGCTATAAGCAACAAAGATCAACAGCAACAAAAGAACCATATGTAGTGAATGAAAACGTTATTATATGACATCAGTAACCAAACAATATGTCTTGTTCTTTTCCAAACAATGCCATCCAGTGGCCCACAGTTTCCTCTATCGTCAAGATAAAATCTTCCTTCTTCAGTCAGTTGTGCACAGGTGTGTGCAGAGTACCATCAAGTCAGCCACAACACTCACACTAAAATGGTGCAACCACTTTTGAGGTTTTGCTAACACGTGACCACAAACCACATGGCATTAAGTTGGCTGCCATTTTGTGACAATCGTGGTGACACTGTAGAATCATGTGAATAAGGCACCAGCCACACAGGCCTAGAAATGGGTATTCCCCAACCAGTTGTGAGCACTTGCTAGAGGTCGATGTAGTCGCTGGAGAAATGACTGGTCTAAAGTCCTAAAGCCAACCAGCCAGTGACCCCCCCAGTCGACCACCTTTTTCTCAATTAAAGTGACTGCTTTGGTCACTGGGTTCATAGTTTGATTGGACTACAACTACAGTTGTAGCCACAGCTGCCCTGGGGCAGACTGACAGAAGCGAGGCTGCCATATCGCGCCATCGGCCCCTCTGGCCATCACCAGTAGGCGGTAGGTGAAGTGTCTTGCCCAAGGACACAACGACCAACACTGTCCGAGCCGGGGCTCGAACCGGCAACCTTTCGATTACAAGACAAACTGCCAACTCTTGAGTTTTCCTCCAAAATAAAAGTTGTACCTTTTGAAACATTTTGGCTACAGCGCTGAGGCATTTCTTCACATTTCACTACTGCTTGGCTAGAAATTAGCAAGTATTTGCAGACAGACATGAAAAACTAAAGGGAACTGTTTACAACCAAAGCAATTACTTGGAAGTTTTTGGTACGGCATCTTCTTTCTAACAGAGTTCACCCATGGAGAGCAAATAGCCTCCACAAAGCACTAACAACCAGTTGGGGAATAGACATTTTCCCCTAGGAATCAGTGTTTGTCTCATATTCAATATAGCAGACAACTTTTGAACCACATGCTCTTGACCTCACGTAAAAAAATTCTAATTATCTAGCAATTGTATACGTTTTATCTACTTTCTTTAAGGTAGGCAACACTGTATTACCCTCTTCTTACTTACTTCTTTCCTAAATAAATTATAATAATGTAGAAATAAGTCTAAGGACAAGAGAAAAAAAACCTATGAAGGTATACTTAATGCTAATAGTATGCTAATGCTACTACTCTACAAGGTGATAGAGTGTTAGCATGCTAAAGTCTACTACTGACAATGGTAAAATGCTTATCTGCCTGATCTAAAGCTGTTCTAGTGTTTACCACGTTTGCCTTCATAGTTTTATTCTATTATTCCTGACTGCAAGAGACGTTCATCCAAAATTCACAAAACCTTAGTTACATTCATAACTCTCAATTAGCAATTAGCAACAGGCAGTTGCTTATAGCTTCCTGGTCAGAAGAATTAAGCAAATCCAAAATTATCTTAGACTTGTTTTCTATCTGAGGATATAGTATAGTGATATCTATGGTTGAAGAAGAAAAAAAAAAGATTTCTGGTCCCATAGAAATCTATAGCAAAACATATTTCTGTCTTGATATCTGCAAATTTTCTAGTGAATTTAAAGACTCAGTCACTCATTTTAAGTCATGCTGAAAGAAAGAAATACACCATCAAGTAATATTATAAGTAATAAATATGATGAATAACTCAAGTCTGAATTGTAAATCTTGGTCGTACCATGTTTTAAAATAGAAGAATACTTGTGGTATGAAAACGCACGCTAATTGGCTAACGAGTTATCAATCACACGTCATTAGCATGTGGTTTCACAGTTAAACTTGCACTTTGTTACACCCAGTTTTTTTGCAGCCAAGAAAGTGATGGCAGAAACACCAACTTGAGGTTTTACACATTGGGACTTTAAAAACATCGGGTGAAACCATGTTAGACAGGTACATCTTTGATATTGTCTCAGGTGTTAAACACGAGGGTAAACACCCAACATAATGGGGAAACTAGCTTTGCTTCTATTTTTTCAGGTTTGCTCAAATTTCGATTAGGCTTAATTTAAATTCTCTAAAGCAACTGAGCCTGGCTGCAATGCTTAATGCCTGTGCCGAATTTGAGTAAGCTTCAGTTGCTGTGAAAATAACCAACTACTAAAATACATCAGCAAATATATGATTAAAAACATTATTATGTGGCTGCACTATACATAGTTAATAGTGACTACTGTGTAAAAGATGGAGTTGTGGTACTGTTTTTATCAGCACCACATCCACACTAAATTGAACCTCTCCTACTTTGTGCCTCTAGAGCGACTAGGACTTTAATAATTCGCTCACACAAATGCATCCCTTGCAGACACAGGCTATAGCTAAGCCTTTCTCTCATCTGAGAAAGGTGAAAAACAAACTTGGACCTGTAGCAGGTCTTTATCCCCGTCTCGGCCTGTTTTCTGTAACCCTGCCTGTCTTTGTTGCTCCAGTGGCACCCACACTGCTGACGAGGAGCAGCAGGGAGCAGACCAGCTAATTAAACTGCCATCTGCACTCTCACACAGCCACTCTGACTAATGTTTTGCTGAAACACGACATATTCATGTACGCACAAATACACACCACAGATGGGAGCTGATGACTACACTAATAGGTGCCGCTTAGCGCTGGCCGTCCACAGTGAGGAGGGGTCTGTTGAATAGAAGTACTTAAACTCATAGGAGTTTAAACAACTGTATCAAAACTGTGCTCATTTTCTCTCCTGTTAAATCTTTCACTAACACCAACATACTTTCATGTCTGAATATTCATCATTCCTTGTATTAATTAAAGTGCTTCATCAAATGTTTTAATCATAAAGATAAACATCAAGCTGTTAATGAAATATTATTATTAATATCCAAGCTTTAAAAATGTGCTATACAAGGGCGAAGTAAAAACTCTTAAAGTCTATTTAACGTTTTCTTCATCACAAACAAACACTGAGTTTCACACGTCTGACTAAGTCATGGTGAATAACAGTTGCTTACATCAAAAAGTACCTGAAAACCAAAACTGAAAATGAGATCTACTCCCTGAAGAGCTGTGTTTTTAATTAGAATGACCTTACCAGGTTCCTCAAAATGACACCATGAAAACATAAGGAAAACGAAGTTTTCACTTAGCTGTGGTGTGAAACCAAAGGGGCTGGTATGTGAACACATACATTCAACAGTGTGATAAACGCATATATACACTGATCAAGAACGTTAAAGGAACTCTTAAATCACACATCGGATCTTAACGAATTAACCTCTTTCTAGTAGATGCACCGATGGTATAAATTTAAAAATCCTAAGTGATTTTCTGAAAAGTTGACCTCTGACATTAAGATTAAGGTCACCGGGATTCAAACTTGACCAAGATTTTTAGCAGCTGCACCCATGGTACCACTTTTAAAACCTTATGTCACATATTTGTTTTCAATAGATTTTCAAAAAACTTGACCTCTGATGCTGATACGTAATGACTGATCGCAGTCTAAAATGAGGCTGTATTACAGTAACAGGACTGAAAAGCAGGATCCAGTATATACTTGGTTTTGTTGACTTCTTGTGTCCAAGGCTCCCAGCTTTAGAGCAAAGCCCTGTTGTTACCAGCAGCTAAAATAAACTTAAAGCTCTCTGCTCCCGCTTTTCTAAAGACAGTTGGTGCTCTCACAGAGTTTCCAGTCAAGGAAAATTACAAACCACAGTGTTACCACCTGTCTGCCCACAGTGGGTACACTCACAATGAAGGATCGGTACAAACTGTGCAGGTGTATATTTCAATGATACCAGCCACTCCACAGCTTGTGTTCCCAAAACATTAAAACGGGTCCACCCAACTAAATCATTACTGATGGGTGCCTCAGCATTTTCACACCTTATATACAGATTAATTTTATTCCACCAAGAAAACATTGTCCAGCATACTTACATACGCGGCGTTATGCGTCTATTCAAATCATATTATCCACTGCAAATCTGACAATACACCGCTCTAACCCACTTAGTGACGAGCCGAGGCCTGGAAACCGTCTAATTCCACACACAGGCACATTTACATGCACGTTACAGTGCCGCTGTTCCATTATGTACTGAAAGCACCTGTTTAATCCACTGCAAGTATGACAGCGTGATAGTTCAGAAGCTGCAACTTTTCTGCTAATGCGCCCAGGCCACAGTCGCGGGGGCACGGGCCAGTCACTTACGCACACCGAGTCTAATTCAGACAAGTGATTCACAAAGTACAAACAGTGAGAAGCCTGACAATTCTCCATTTAACAGCCATTTACATGTACCCTGCAAATGACGGAGAGCGAAATAAAAGATCCGCACACTGTCATCTGTGTCACCCACGTCAGACTCACCAGCTTCTGGAACAAATGTCCCACGGTGACCTTCTCGTCCCACTGCTGGATGCTGGGTAGGAGGGCGTCGTAGAACTCTTTGTGGATCTCGAAGATGTCCTGGATTTTGTAGAAGATGGTCTCTACCTGCTGGATGGTCAGGACAGGCTGAGAGGTCGTGGCTGTCGCTTTCAGGGGTCGCATGGGCTGGAGAGACAGGAGACTCAGGTAATAAGCCTAAATTAGTCATATATAAAGTATGAGATTGATGAACACAGAAAATGTGTTAAAATCATCCATAACATCTGATCGGGCCAACAAAAAGGACCTATTAGGACCAGTGCCAGAAAGGGAACGTATAAATGCGTCACTCTGTGATAAGTAAGTAATCCGAGCCTCTTTTCATCTGGGTGACAGTCTTCTCCTTTGTCTTGTTTGTACTCGGGCAGATTGCAGGCCAACTCAGTTAATCACAGTGATGTGTAGAGTGGTCATGTTGGGCGTGCGTGGGGAGGATGGCTCTGAATTACAGTGCAAACAGAAAGGCTTTTTACGTCAGCTCTCTAGGGCTAATCATGAGTCACCCTCCTACTGTATTAAGGCACATGAGACAGGTTGGATTATTTTTAAAAGCACCGACAATCAATATGTCTGTCCTAGTCTATGTAAGACGGCAAAAGCAGTCGGCTGAAAATTCCTCATTAGATTTAACCAGAAAGGATTTGGAGACTAGTGGTCCTAAATTTCATCTCCTTGGTGGAAAATAATAGTCATCATATATCAAATCAGCTGGAGCAGCTGAGGTGATGTTTAAACATTTTTAATGAACCCATGTTTATATCAAGAAAATAGGAAAGAGAGACTCTCTTGTGATCTACTTCCCAGTAAGTGTAAATGAACCAACACAGTACAGGAAGATAATTACTTCCTAGGCTGTTCCAAATTTATCACCATAATCATCCACATTGATTGGGATCGTCTTGTTACTTGGTTGTCTTACAAAAACAAACAAATAAATAAAATCATTACATTTACAAACTCTACAAAATATTCTTAGAGTAAAAAAAAAAAAAATCCAGTCAAGAAGTTCAGAATAATGTTATTGTTTCAAATACCCTGGGGACGTGGAATATGATTATGATACATTTCCAGATAAAGAAACATTTCTCTCTCTTAGGCCCAGAATGTGAAGACCCAATGTATGAAACCTGGCAGCAGGGGGGGATCGGACCAGCTTATTAAGCTGTCTGATGTTGAAAGAATCCAGTATTTTGAAACACCGGGTTTCCAGGGATGCAGCCAGAGAGTAAGGTGTGACTATTCTGTTTGGAGCAAGTGTATTATTCTGCTGAAAGACATGGAAAAAAGACATAAAAACAAACGGCCCCAGTGCCTGTTTTAGACCTCCTCTG